CGCCGCCGCACATGAGCAGTGCGGAGGCTGCCCAGCCGATGTACAGCGCTGCGCCCAGCTCGTATTTCTGAGACACCGGCACTGCCGGATCGTAGAACTCGCGCACCACGATGTTGGCGAACCAGCAGAGCGGCACGAGCGCCAGGAGCCCGCACAACGCGAAAAGCGCTCCGCCCGTGAGGGCCACGCGCGCCTTCACTGGACCCGGGGCCACGCAGGTGGTGCATTGCGCGCCGGTCAAGGTAACAAAGAGCGCCACCAGCGCCAGCAGCACAGCGCCCACGGTGAGCGCCCGAGCTGCCTGCACCTCGGCACTCAGCGCCAGCACAGACTCATACACCTTGCACTGCATGTGCCCCGTGCTCTGCACCACGCACGACATCCACAGCCCTTTCCAAGTCGTCTGCGCCGTCACGATGTTGTGGTCCAGGAAGGCAGTCACCTGCCACATGGGCAACCCACACGCCAGGATCAAGCCCACCCAACCTACCAGGCACAGCACCAGACCCAGAATTTCCAACGCTGCGGACCCCATGGCTAAAGACCGAATGCTCGCCCTATGGCCCCTGGGGCCTCCAGGTGCGCTCGGCGCGGCTTGGGTTGTGCGCTCCACTGGTTCTGGTGCCTCTGCTCCGGAGCTTCCTGAAGTGGACCAGAAAGGAGGATCAACAACACCAACTCAGTTCTTCAGTGCCTGTTGGGGATTTCGTATTTGAAGTCTCGGGGGCGGACTCTGCCCCCAGGGCGCAGCCCCCTAGCTAGGACAGCCAATCCATGAGCAGACCTTCGGTCTACACCCAATCGCAGACCCCCTGGCAGTTACAGTTAAAGAAACCACAGCCGTAGGACTAGTTCTGCTGGCCCCTACCGCTCCCAGAAGGGCAGCAGTCTAAGACCCTACCAGTTTCTGTCCAAATTCGGGCTGACCTTGGCGGGTTCAAAGGTGATCTGCATGCCAGGTCTCCCAGCTTTAGCTGCATGACCTCTAGTCTACACCTACCAATTCCACTTACTACATCCCGTTTCATTCCAATCCCTCCATGCAAAGACTTGTCATGGAGGTTCCAGGAGCCCCTGTGCACAGGCGAAACAAACCTTTACACTGTTTGCCCCTTGGCACACCAGGCAGAGATGCTAGACAAACTTGTGTTGGTCATGCCCTTGGTTATAACATCATCCAAGATCCTGCCCAACCACCGACTACGCTCAATCCTTCCATAGTTCTTCCCTAGGTATTTGGGCCTGATACAAAGTGGGCGGTGGAAGGGCCTGTGCTGTCTCTTCTGTGATGCTGCCTCCATCCTCTAAGGTCCAGTGTATGTCAGGCAGCACCACTCAGTCCCCAGTCTCCTCCAGCACATAGACTGTGATCCAGGCACAGTAGAGACACAGAGGGACATAAAGAGCACTGACTTGCTGTCCTACAAGCAGTTGTGGTGCTTTGCCACCCCAGCCCCCAGGCCACCCTCCGGAAGCCAACTTGGAGTTTCCTGGCCAGGAGGAAGAGCCCCATCCTCGCTAGAGGAGGGAGCCGCGGGATTTCCGGGCATTCTTCTGCACAATGGCCCAACCATTTCTTGAAAGGTCCAGTGGGTTGGACACTCTGGGTCCCTGAGGCTCAGGTGGGGGCCCCCGGCCCCACAGCCCACATCCCAGCTAGGGCACCAGCCCCTTTCCAGCATTTGCCTCTCATTCCCTTTGTTTGCAGTTAGCCCTAGACTCCGGATGGGCTTTTTTGTCATTGTTGTGCTTGGGGTTTTGTTTTGTTGTTTTCCTCTGCTCAAAAGAACTCCGGGCCTCTATAGAAAAAGGATGACATTGTTGAGAGCAGCCACAGATGTGGGGATTTGGGTAAATGTCTCCCTTCTGGGCCCCAGCTTGCTTCCGAAGATGGCTCTGAGTAAGAGGTTAATGGAGCCAGCCTAGTACCTGCTTCGCCCTACATGGGAAGGTGCTTAGAACAAAGTGCCAGGCCTTGGGGCAGGGAGAGCCTCACACACACACCCTTCCTGTCCCCAACCAACTCTCCTGATATGTAGGAATAGCTCCTTCCAGCCATCATATATTGTCTGTTGCCTTCCACCTTCTGCAAACCCTTCCCTCACTTTCTGTGGACCCTCTCCACTGCCCAGTGGGTGTAAAACCCAAGGCTCACCCTCTTGATCCCACTTCTGTGCTCGAGGCCAGAGCAAAGCATTTTGCCAGCACCCTCCAAGTTCCATGACATCTTCCTGGAGCAACTGCTGAAGCCTCTTCAGACCGCCCAGCAAGGCAGCTTCTGCAGGCCCTCACCTATAACCCTGTATGGCTCTCATTGCCCACTGACAAAGACCTGGATCCTGGAGCAGCCTAGACTTAGGTGGCCAGGAGCATACGCTATACACCTTCCTCTGGTTCTTAAACTAGTCTTTCTGCTACTGATGGCTTCTCTGTCTGTCTGTCTTGCTGTTCTGCAAGGTTGCACTGATGGACACATTTGAGTACATTTCTCTACACCCAGGCCCCAGAAGGTCCAAGCCAGGATAGCTTTTGTCTGTTGATTTTCCTACCGGTGAGTCTCAACAAAGTGATCATTGCCATCCATTTTACCCAGACAAGAGGCAGCTTGCTGCTTTCAGCTAGTTGGGGATGCAAACAGCAGGACATGCTCCCCTCCCTCCTGCCTGCCCTCCTGTCCACCATTTTGGTAGTGTACCCAGACTGGCACCCATGATAGTATCAACAAGTTCACATACCTTTAATAACAGCCTCACAGTATCTCTAGGAGCTGGCAGTGGAAACTCAGACGTCATATTCCCCAGCATACAACGGGGCCAGTACCACTCCAGAAAAGTGCAGCTAGGGCTCACATTGCTTCCTCAAGCCTCCTCCAAGACTGGAACAAGTGACCCATCCCAGACCCAAGGAAAAGTGCTGTGCACTGGCCAGTGTCTCCACCAAAGCACACAGCACAGGACGCTTCATAAGCCACCAACGAAGCACTGGTAGGAAGAAAAGCAGCAAAGGGCTCCCCAAAGAGGAGCCATCCCAGCAGGATTCCAGGAAGAAGTTCCCAGGGAGCAGATGGAAAGACCCTGGTGTACATGTGCATTTGGGGCTAGGCAAGGTAGCTCAGGGGTAAAGCACTTGCTTAGCAAGCTCCATCACTAACCAAATAAAATAAAACTAGATAAATTGCCCTAGAGGTGGGACAAGGCTCTGAATGGACCTGATCCTGGAGCGGGCAAAAGTCAGTATGGCTAGAGTACAGCAGGAGCCAGGGCCAGGGAGTCTGGGACTGTGTGGGGACATGAATCCCAGTCTCTGGTAGGGGGATTGCCAGGCAGGCCACCTGTTCCTGCATTGCTATTGTTCTGCTCTCCCTGGGGAAGTGGCACAGGATCCCATTAATTGTGTGAGAGAAAGGCCTGAGTCTGCAGAAAAGCAAAGTTTATCTCCCGCAGCTGCTGGCTGACCCTGCCCTGAGGGGATCCGTTGACCTTCCATGGACAATCTAAATTTAGGCTGCAGGTTCCCGGGGCTTGGATTTGGGAAGCTCTTAGCAAACAGGCTTCATTTCAAAGGGAGTGAAAAGCCAGCCTTCCTTCTATCTTTCAGCTTCTGGTGCAGGGTGTTTCCTGCTAGTCCAGCAGATGTTCACAGAACCCCTAAATTCTTTTTGTTCAGAGTCATTTCTTGGTGGAAACCAAGAGCCTGGGCTCTCACTAGCCCAAAGGCAGCATCTTGAGACCTCCAATGTCACTAGCCATTGGGCTGTGAACCCAGGGTGGCCGGGATAGGCCGGCAGGGGCCCCTCCTGTCTACTCTCAGTTGTTGGCATGGGTATCTTCTGTAGTCCAGAGCAGAACTGGAGTTAGATTTATCCCTACTTTTTGAACTAATTGCCTTGGTTTCTCTGTGCCTCATTTTCCCATTCATACTGCAGCCCCTGCCTCAGGTTACAGACGTGAAGAAGAGGCTAATCACTATCCCAGGAATAGGCCCTAGTGCTATTCCTGGGAACCTGAGAGGGGCTTGAAGTCACTCACTCATTCAGTTGACCTTCGAAGTTCACTGAACCTCAGGCCCAGATAGGTGCCAACTAGCCATCAACATCAGAGGTCACTGTGGCTTTAGCATCTTCAATGAGCAGGAGGATTTTGTAAGGGTGGGTAGGGAGCTCCATGTAGGGCGCACACTGGATGTTGTCTCCATGCAGTCCAGCCTGACCTCTCCCCAAACCCCAGAGAGATAGCAGAGATGCTCCAGGACCCAGACTCACCTTCTACTCCCTCTACCCCCCCCCACACACACTTCAATTCTCCAGCGCCAAACACACCACTGCACAACTTTATACCTTTGTCTATTTGAAATCACAGAGTCATTCTGGAGTCTTCTTTGTCATTAGGCATCAGATTGGAAACACTTCCCACTTTGTTAAAAATGCCCACATGATTAGGGTTGTTTGTGGTGTACAGTGTGTTGTCCCAACAATTGCAGGTGGAGTATGAATGTGGCCAACTCTTCTAAATTCTGAGAGTCACAGATGATAATGGCCATGACCCCAAAGGGATTAGTGAAGCTCATGTCCTGCCTCAGATTGACACTGAACTAACGTCAGGATGTCACCTAGGGACTCATTCCCCAAGTTCGCAGATGCTCAGAGCTGGTGTATAAATGGCCTGATCTTCAGTCTTCAGACATTCAGTCATCTCTAGGTTAATTAAGATATCTGAAACATTGCAAATGATGTGTGAATAGCTAGTGTACTATTTTGTTCAGAGAATCATAACCATATATATGGAAGTGTTCAGCACAGATACAGTTTTCCTCATATATATATAAAATATGGAAATATATTATTTCATATATAATATAAAATATATACAGAGATATATTTCACAAGCCATTTTTTTTTTCTTGGTGAGACAGAGTCTCACTATAAAGACCCGGCTGTCTGGTAGCTTGCTAGGTAGCCTAGGCTGGCCTTGAGATCTACCTGCCTCTACTTCCCAAATGTTGGGATTAAAGGTGTGTGCTACCACACCTGGATTCACATACTTTCATCCACAGTTGGTTCAGTCTGTGGTTGTAGAACCAGAGGGCTGACTGCATTCGCCAGTTACATAGACATCTCTCCAGGCATCTTTTGATAAGTGATCAGAGTTTTTGCCTTTGACAAGCAATCACTGAGCTACATACCCAGCCCCTGCAAGAGATACATTTCTATTATAAACAATACTATTATTGGTGTCCTTACTCGTAATTCTTTGTATTTAGGAGATTTTATTATTGTTAACGTTATCTGAGGCTACCTTTTTGTAGGGAGACACCGAAACCGTGCCACCTAAAGACTGGCTACAGGTGTGCCCGACCACACCTGTCAGGGTGTGGTCAAGGTGATGTCAGGGCGATGTGGGAAAGGTTTAAAGGGACAGACAAGGCACACGGGCGCTCTTTCGACTTGCTGCTTTGGCATGCTCTGGCTTGCTGCTGGCTGGCGTTTATCTATTAAAAGTTATCCTAACCTTATGGATTTCATATCAGTTATTCACC